AGACAATGAGGCCGCCATGTTCATCCATTATATTACAGGGGTAGACAATGAGGCCGCCATGTTTATTCATTATATTACAGGCGTAGACAATGAGGCCGCCATGTTTATCCATTATATTACAGAGGTAGACAATGAGGCCGCCATGTTTATCCATTATATTACAGGCGTAGACAATGCCCACCAATATACAAACAGGAAGGATTTCAACAACAAAGGTCCACACACGTATATATAAACGAGCCGTTACCATTATATTACAGAGGTAGACAAATGATACCAGGCGTGCTATCTCATTATGGCAATGGTAGACAATAAGGTCAGCCATGTTTATTCATTATAATACAGAGTGTAGACAATTTATACCATGTTCATTCATTACATTACAGGAAAGTATCAAACGAGGTCAGCCTATGCTTATTCACATTATATTACAGAGGTAGACAATGAGGCCTATGTTCATCCATTATAATACAGGGTAGACAATGAGGCCTATGTTCACCACCATACATGAGGTAGACAATGAGGCCGCCCATGTTCATCCATTATACGGTTAGGTGATTAACAATGAGGCCGCCCATGTTTATCAGCTAGCATTTAGGGTACTAAATATGTTATTCATTATATTACAGGCGTAGACAATGAGGCCGCCATGTTTATTCATTATATTACAGGCGTAGACAATGAGGCCACCATGTTTATTCATTATATTACAGGGGTAGACAATGAGGCCGCCATGTTTATTCATTATATTACAGGGGTAGACAATGAGGCCGCCATGTTTATCCATTATATTACAGGGGTAGACAATGAGGCCGCCATGTTTATTCATTATATTACAGGGGTAGACAATGAGACTGCCATGTTTATTCATTATATTACAGGGGTAGACAATGAGGCCGCCATGTTTATTCATTATATTACAGGGGTAGACAATGAGGCTGCCATGTTTATTCATTATATTACAGGGGTAGACAATGAGGCCGCCATGTTCATCCATTATATTACAGGGGTAGACAATGAGGCCGCCATGTTTATCCATTATATTACAGGGGTAGACAATGAGGCCGCCATGTTTATCCATTATATTACAGGCGTAGACAATGAGGCCGCCATGTTTATCCATTATATTACAGGGGTAGACAATGAGGCCGCCATGTTCATCCATTATATTACAGGCGTAGACAATGAGGCCGCCATGTTTATTCATTATATTACAGGGGTAGACAATGAGGCTGCCATGTTCATCCATTATATTACAGGCGTAGACAATGAGGCCGCCATGTTCATCCATTATATTACAGGGGTAGACAATGAGGCCGCCATGTTTATTCATTATATTACAGGGGTTGACAATGAGGCCGCCATGTTCATCCATTATATTACAGGGGTAGACAATGAGGCCGCCATGTTTATTCATTATATTACAGGGGTAGACAATGAGGCCGCCATGTTTATTCATTATATTACAGGGGTAGACAATGAGGCCGCCATGTTTATCCATTATATTACAGGGGTAGACAATGAGGCCGCCATGTTCATCCATTATATTACAGGGGTAGACAATGAGGCCGCCATGTTTATTCATTATATTACAGGGGTTGACAATGAGGCCGCCATGTTCATCCATTATATTACAGGGGTAGACAATGAGGTCACCATGTTTATTCATTATATTACAGGGTTGACAATGAGGCCCATGTTTATTCATTATATTACAGGGGTAGACAATGAGGTCATTTCATGTTTATTCATTATATTACAGGGGTAGACAATGAGGCCGCCATGTTTATTCATTATATTACAGGGGTAGACAATGAGGCCGCCATGTTTATCCATTATATTACAGGGGTAGACAATGAGGCCGCCATGTTCATCCATTATATTACAGAGGTAGACAATGAGGCCGCCATGTTTATCCATTATATTACAGGGGTAGACAATGAGGCCGCCATGTTTATTCATTATATTACAGGGGTTGACAATGAGGCCGCCATGTTTATTCATTATATTACAGGGGTAGACAATGAGGCCGCCATGTTCATCCATTATATTACAGAGGTAGACAATGAGGCCGCCATGTTTATCCATTATATTACAGGGGTAGACAATGAGGCCGCCATGTTTATTCATTATATTACAGGCGTAGACAATGAGGCCGCCATGTTTATTCATTATATTACAGGGGTTGACAATGAGGCCGCCATGTTTATTAATTATATAACAGGGGTAGACAATGAGGCCGCCATGTTCATCCATTATATTACAGGGGTAGACAATGAGGCCGCCATGTTCATCCATTATATTACAGGGGTTGACAATGAGGCCGCCATGTTTATTCATTATATTACAGGGGTAGACAATGAGGCCGCCATGTTTATCCATTATATTACAGGGGTAGACAATGAGGCCGCCATGTTCATCCATTATATTACAGGGGTAGACAATGAGGCCGCCATGGTTATTCATTATATTACAGGGGTAGACAATGAGGCCGCCATGTTTATCCATTATATTACAGGGGTAGACAATGAGGCCGCCATGTTCATCCATTATATTACAGGGGTAGACAATGAGGCCGCCATGTTTATCCATTATATTACAGAGGTAGACAATGAGGCCGCCATGCTTATTCATTATATTACAGAGGTAGACAATGAGGCCGCCATGTTCATCCATTATATTACAGGGGTAGACAATGAGGCCGCCATGTTTATCCATTATATTACAGGCGTAGACAATGAGGCCGCCATGTTTATCCATTATATTACAGGGGTAGACAATGAGGCCGCCATGTTTATCCATTATATTACAGGGTAGACAATGAGGCCGCCATGTTCATCCATTATATTACAGGGGTAGACAATGAGGCCGCCATGTTTATTCATTATATTACAGGGGTAGACAATGAGGCCGCCATGTTTATTCATTATATTACAGGGGTAGACAATGAGGCCGCCATGTTTATCCATTATATTACAGGGGTAGACAATGAGGCCGCCATGTTCATCCATTATATTACAGGGGTAGACAATGAGGCCGCCATGTTTATTCATTATATTACAGGCGTAGACAATGAGGCCGCCATGTTTATCCATTATATTACAGGGGTAGACAATGAGGCTGCCATGTTCATCCATTATATAACAGGGGTAGACAATGAGGCCGCCATGTTTATTCATTATATTACAGGGGTAGACAATGAGGCCGCCATGTTTATTCATTATATTACAGGGGTAGACAATGAGGCCGCCATGTTCATCCATTATATTACAGGGGTAGACAATGAGGCCGCCATGTTTATTCATTATATTACAGGGGTAGACAATGAGGCCGCCATGTTTATCCATTATATTACAGGGGTAGACAATGAGGCCGCCATGTTCATCCATTATATTACAGGGGTTGACAATGAGGCCGCCATGTTTATTCATTATATTGACAGCATTTAAATTGTTTTCCCATCAATCAGAAACATATAACCTTTGGAAAATGAACACGTTCCTGATTTAACAGAAGTAAATTTGATCTAGAAATAAGAAACTATTGATTAACATCATTGTTTAGCTGGCGATACTGTTTGATTGATATTAAATCTATTGTTGTCTTTTTTTTCTCAGTTTGATTGAATTTGACACGTGGGATTTCTGCTAAACAGACTGGTTGAAGACACATAGATAATATCAGCCCAGGGAGCACCTACCTCTAGAGTAAATCTACACGGTAAGTGATTATCATATTATCTGCAGTTATTGATAACAAAGGACAGCAGTCATAATACAAATAATAATACAATGAATTAATTTAAGTTCTATAAAACTGATCCACAATGAGTGTTATTTATTGTTTGTGCTGTATTAATAGCAAAAATGTTGACAGAAATGCCTTCAATACAGGACATCTGTAATTCTCGCTATGTAACGAGAATATATGCTAAAATCATGTCACCCTTTGTACGTGCATTATTATACACAAAAATCAAGCAAATAATAAAAACAGAAACCACATACTAAACAATATAAAATCAAGAGATCAAGAAAAAAATCTGCCTTAGTATCACAATACACCGGAAATCGTTCTGTATCCCACAAGTTATTACTAATGTGCAGCCAGTTTATCAGCTGTTTGCTTGTGTGAGCTGTACTGCCACAGCCCCCTCCAGCCAGGGCCGGTGCAAGGATTTTTGCCGCCCTAGGCAAAAGTAAAGTTTGCCCCCCTCCCCCCCATGTGACATCACAATGCAACCACCCATATGATTTGCCATGTTAACTATCGCCAGTGCTGCAGTGCCGCCGTGTTTACATTAAAAGGCCTGCAGGGACAGGCTATAGACACCAGAACCACTACATTAAGCTGAAGTGGTTCTGGGGACTATAGTGTTTCTTTAATGTGAGGTAAATTAGAGCTTAGTGCCTCGAATAATATACTAGATTGCCTACTTACAACCAGATGAGGATGATGATGGGCTCTAGCTGCAGTCTGGCTTCACTGGTCTGGTGCAGAACAGTCTCTCTGCAGGCGGTTTGTAACTGTGGTCACAAAAATCAATGTTCTGGGAGAACGGGAAGCAGCTCCATTTTTGGGGGGTCCTTTACACAGCTCAAGGTCTGGGTTCCAGGGTCCACCTTCATGTTCCACCAATGAGTTTGTTCACAGGGGGTGGAGTGTGTAGGGGATGTCCTGATATGTGTGTAAGGAATGCATTGTGTGAAATTGTGTTTGTATGTGTAAGGGCTGCAAGGTGTGTTTCTTTGTATGTATGGGATGCATTGAATGTGTGTAAGGGGTGCATTGAGTGTGTGTTTCTGTGTGTGTAAGGGATGCATTGTGTGTAACGGTTGCATTGCTTGTGTATGTGTGTGTGTGTGTAATGCATTGTGTGTTTTTCTGTGTGCAAGGGGTGCATTGTGTGTATGTGATGAATATCAATCTCTCCTCCCGCTCCAATTTCCTTCTCCTCCTCCCAATTTCTCTTTCTCACCCCCCCTCCTAATTTCTCTCCCCCCCTAATTTCTCTTTCCCCCCTCCTAATATCTCTTCCCCCCTCCTAATTTCAATTTCTCTTTCCCCCCTCCTAATATCTCTCCCTCCCTCCTAATATCTCTCCCTCCCTCCTAATTTCTCCTCTCACCCCCCTCTCTCCTTTCTCACCCCTCCTTTCTCTTTCCTCTCCCCCCTTTCTCTTTCTCTCCCCCCTCCTTTCTCTTTCTCACCCCCCTTTCCTTCTCACTTGCCCCCCCCTTTCTCCCTCTCTCCTTTCTCACCCCCCTCCTTTCTCTTTCTCTCCCCCCCTCCTTTCTCTTCTCACCCCCCCTTTCTCCTTCTCACCCCCCTTTCTCCTCTTTCTCACCCTCCCTTCTCACCCTCCCTTTCTCCTCTTTCTCACCCCCTCTTTCTCCTTTTTCACCCCCCTCTCTCTCTTTTCACCCCCTCCTTTTCCTCCCCTCTCCTTTTTTTCACCCCCTTTCTCCTCTTTCACCCCCTCTCATGCTGCTTTCCCCTCCTCTTTTCACCCCCTCTCCTTTTTCACCCCCCTTTCTCCTTTTTCACCCCCCCTCTCCTCTTTTCACCCCCTCCTTTTCACCCCAGCACCTTACCTCTTTCACCCCCCCACTCTCTCCTTTTTCACCCTTTTCCTCCTCTTCCCCCTCTCTTTTCACCCCCCCTCTCCTCTTTTCACCCCCCTTTCTCCTCTTTCACCCCCCCCTCCTCTCCTTTTCACCCCCCCTCTCTCCTTTTCACCCCCCCTCCCCTACCTCTCCCTGCTTAGCGTGGCCGAGGCACGAAGTATAGTCCGCGGGTACAGAGCCCGGCTGGCTCTGCGCGGCCGGGGCCCCAACGGGAAGTGAACACTGAGGTGTGCACTTCCTGTTAGTCCACGGCCGGGTACGAAGAACTGTACTCCTAACCCACGCCGGCTATCGGGGCTCGGCCACTACCAGGCTGTTGAGCGCTCCCTCCTGTCAGCCTCTCCCCTCAGGCTGCGCCCGGGCGGTGCGGTCCGCCCTCATGGACGCCCCGCCCGGGCAATGCTGCAGCCGCCTGAGGCTCAATACAGGGCGCTCGGGCGGCTGCAGCATATGGGGGGGGGGGGCTGATCATGGCACCCCCCACCCGGCTGGCACCCGGGGCGGACCGCCCCCCCCGCCCCCCCCTTAGTACGCCACTGAGTCTCTGTATGCTAGTGATTGAGCAAGAGTAGTTTTCTATCTCCTCTTTAATTTAATCACTTTCCAATTCGAACATGTTCTGGATTTAATTTGATTATTGGAACAGCGCAAGAATCAGTATAGAAAATAAATAAAATCTGGGGGTGCATCCTTTCATGATAAATATTCTTTGCACACTGAGCGTACGTTTGAATCATGTCCTTTTATATAAGAAATCACTTAGTAAAAGCAGACATAAACCTATTTAAAGGAACACTATAGGGTCAGGAACACAAACATTTATTTCGGACCCTATAGTGTTAAAACCACCATCTACTGACCCATTGACTCCTTAAATATAGTAAAATCTTACTTTGATTTCAGTCTGATGCTGCTGGATCTGTACCTGTTCTGCCTGCTTGGCTAAAATCCTTAGAAAATCACAATGCTTTCCCATAGGAAAGCATTGGATTAGCTGAGATTGTCAAGGAGGCAGATCAGGGACAGAGCCCAGAACAAGCCAAACGCATCCCTGGCCAATCAGCATCTCCTCATAGAGATACATTGAATCAATGCATCTCTATGAGGAAAGTTCAGTGTCTTCATGCAGAGGGTGGAGACACTGAATGTCAGTCACACTGTGCAGCACTGCCCCAGGAAGCACCTCTAGCTGCCATCTGATGAGAGGCCAGTGGAGGTATCCCTAGGCTGTAATGTAAACACTGCATTTTCTCTGAAAAGACCGTATTCGCTGCAAAAAGCCTGAAGGGAATGATTCTACTCACCAGTACAAATTCAATAAGCTGTAATTGTTCTGGTGACCATAGTGTCCCTTTAATTTATCCGACCTATACTTCTACAATCGTGGATCATGCCATTTACTCTATAGATCTTAACAAACTCTACCTGAGTCACCGGTCATACTACCTGTATGACATCCACCCCTTTCTGGACACCTAGAATATACTATCATGTCCCCTTTATAAAACTCTACCCATCTTCACAGACAATAGAAGCTGATCAGTTAGAATCGTATTCTGCAATTTGCCTGAATTTTTCATTTTTCCATTGAATTAAATGCCAGCCCATGGACTGGCATCAAAAGCTCAGTGAGAAGACATAATGCATAAAGATTATATGCCACTAAAGCAATACGGACCCATTCCTTTACAGCAGCACTGACTGCCAAAAAAATCCCGTCGCTGAGACAATTATTGTTAATGTGATTCATTTACCAAAATGGTTTCTACTTTTCATAAAGTGGGAACATGTTTTCTACGTCCGTTGAGTATTTATTAGCCAGTGCAATAAACCGCGCTCTCGTTTAATTTTAACACAGTGAGTGGGACTCGACTCAGACTCTGTATTGGTGGGGAGAGGGGAATAAAACTGACTTTTTGGCTTTTTTTATTGACACGACTTTCATTTCAATCTCAGAGCCCAAAGCAAGTTAATGCTTTACCATAAAGCAAGCTGTTTAAAGTTGTGCCAGAATAAACCTATATAGTTAGACTCTTGGCTTACAATCTTTTAATGAGCTCTGTCAAATTTGATTGGCAATAAAGTTACTGCATTAAATCATTTATTAAAAAAGTCAATTACTTTTTTATTATATATTTTTTTTTTCGTGGCTATATTGGGATAGCTATTGCCTTGAGTCTCAGTGCAGGAGTTTCTACTCCAGGCTTATTTACATGACTAAGTCCATGTTAAAAACTGCATGGCATTCAAAAGGTTAATCCTCACTGGCACATTTACAAGTTGAGCCTAATGTTACAATTCGATTTTGAATTAACCAAAACCCACCAGTTATTAAATGATCTCCTTATGCAGCACAAGGCAGGAAGACGCAGATCACTGTCCACTGTGAGCCAATCATGTTATTAACGATCGCTAGTGTCGTAGAAAGTGGACAAAAACCATCAGACAGACACAACAGGAAAGATGCAAATTTGGCAAATCTTGGAGCGGCTGGAGAAGGGAAACTTTTCCTGGGGGGATCTTACACTGGCTGATAGGGTGGAGAGAGAGTAACAAAGTATATATGAGATATAACAATAAGTGGAAGTGTGCAGTTACATAACAATGGAAACATAAGTGAAGTGAAACATCTATATGTATGTCCCTATAATGTGCAAAAATGTGTGCAAAAAAAAGTACAATAACAAAAAACATATGTGATATTGTGTTAAAACTGCAGCAAAACCTCTGTTGTAATAATCTTGAAAAATGAAAACATAAATAAAGAATATTAAAAAAACAAAAAAACTGCAGCAACCAACCAAGAATATAAGCAAATATCCCTTGTATTAAAAACAACCCCCTGTGACATCATCTGGCAGGCAGGCTAGTGTGCATGTGCGGTGAGCGTATCCCTCCCTATAGGAAAGCATTGCTTCAATATTTTCCTATGGGGATTTCACTGATGCTGGTCATCCTCATGCAGAGTGTGAGGACGTCCAGCGTCAGGAGACCAAAAGTTGACTAACCACCATGAACTCCCTCTTGTTGGTGTCTGATACACTGTACCCAGACCACTTCAATGAGATTAACTGGTCTGGGTGACTATAGTGTTACTTTAAGAACTCTGAAGGAATCACGCTCCTTGTGTTGGGTGGATCTGCCAGGAAAGCACCAGACTGCTAATATATAGAAAATATACTGTATACACAGGGTTACTCACTAAGGTGAGAGTTATCCGGAACTGCAAGTGAATTCAAGGTGAATTTCAAATTTAAGACCAAATAGATGAACCGGAAATATTCTCCAAGACAGCGGTAGCTACTCTGGTTGTCCGGCCATAACATTTACCCTTGGGCAGTAGCCCACGGTCTTTTTGCCGCCGAGCGATGCCCCTGGTTAGAATGAATTATTTTCAGTAACCTCAAATGATCTAAAGTAATACATTATTTGGGTGCTGTTTTTCATTTTGGGAATTTTAAATAAATTGTGGTTAATACCTTACAGCTAGTGATGTCCCGAACTGTTTGCCGAACGGTTCACCGCGGTTCGCCACGAACGGTTCGCCACGGATTCCAGTAAGTAGACACATTCCAGCCAATCAGCTGCAGACCCTCCCACCTCCTGGACAGCTCACTAAGAATGCAGCTTCAAAATGGATGCTGTCCAGGAGTTGCAAGGGTCTGGGAGGGAGGGTCTGCTGCTGATTGGCTGGAATGTGTCTGCTGACCGGAGTTTGTGGCGAACCGTTCGCGAACAGTTCGGCGAACAGTTCGGGACATCACTACTTACAGCTTCTCAAATTCAGTGGATATTTATTTAGAAAAAGTGGATATTTATTTAGAATAAATGAATATTGATTTAGTACAAATGGTGACATAAAAAAATAGACATATAGTAACAGCAGAGTAGTCCAGGCACTCAAGGTTTTCATACATCAGCAGATTCATTGGAAAAACAGGACAGGTACAGCAACGTTTCGATCCCTTCAGGGATCTTTATCAAGCATCTACAGGCTCTGGAAACTCCCTTATGAAACTCTTGTAAAGCACCCCTAAGAACATCCCTGGAGGCACCCTTAAGAAGGTCCCATAAAGCACCCCTAAGAAGGTCCAAGAAAGCACCCCAAAGAAGGTACCTGGAAGTACTCCTAAGAAGGTCAGTGGAAGCACCCCTACAAAGGTCCTGAAAGCACCCTTAAGTAGGTCCCTGGAAAAATTCTTACTAAAGTCATGCAAAGCACTGAGAAGCAGATCTTCAGCAGCACTCCTAAGAAGGTCCCTGAAAGCAGCCCATTGAAGGTCCCTGTAAGCACTCCCAAGAAGGCCACTGGAAACACCCCTAAGAAGGTCCATGGAAGCCTCCCTAAGAAGGTCAGTGGAAGCACCCTTAAGAAGATCCTGTGAAGCACCCT